ATTTTAGCAAATGGCTGCAATATAACAAAGAGTAAAAAATTTAAGGGGGTCTGAATACTTTCCGTACCCACTGTATATATATATTGAGATTAGATTAAATTCTGGGAAAATCTTTTTTTTAAATAAATAAATATATATATATATATACAAATATATATATATTTGTTGTGTGTGTATTTTTTTTTAAATTGTCGAAAATGTATACATCTAGGTAGTTTGTTGTACTGCCTTTAAATTGTTAATTAATTGTATTTTTTTGTAGATTTTATTTTCTCATTTGCTATAAGAAAAAAAAAATATATATATTTGTATAATATATATTAATATTTACTATAGTAGAAATTGTAATTAAAATTTGCAAGCTTAAAAGCAGTACATTAAACTACACTGATGCAGAAATTCTTATTAATCCCTTAATGAGATTTGGGGATAATGTCATAATTTTACCCCACCTCTCATTTTAAAAATGTAAGAACTATATTTTAAAAAAGCAAAAGGCTTTTTTACTTAAAAATATATATTTCTGTGTGTTCAGCAATATTGGTAGCTGAAATCACCACTAATTACCAAATTAGTTTAAATTTTTATTAAGCAAACATGCAAAGAAACTTGTTGAACTTGTTGACAGGCGTTTAAATTCTGTGAAGTTTTGCAAACACGGAGTCCTGGATGTTTCTAAATATTTTGACTGAACACAATCTGATCTAATTGGGTTTGATAGATGTGATGTTTTCTAACCCATGTGTCCCATCTTTAGTTTGAGAGCCTTGGTCCGATTCTCAAGCTTCCTGGCAAAAAGACCTTTAACAACATGGACAGGGAGTTTTTGGAGAAGAGGAAGAAGGACCTGAACGCTTATTTGCAGGTGGGTCAGACGAGGACGGGTGTTTATTTTGGGTTCTGCTGGCTCAGGTGTGCTGAGAGCTGAATGTGTCTTGCAGCTGCTGTTGAATCCTGAAATGGTGAAGGCCTGTCCCATGCTGATCCCCTACGTCTATGACTTCCTGGAGAACAAAGCCTACAGCAAGGGCAAAGGAGACTTCGCACGCAAGGTGAGAAATACCACATACAGAAAATGTTTAATATGATCAGTGAAGGTGTTTCATGTCCAGCAGGGTGGGAGATTTAGCTTATAAAATTATATCTTGTTATAAAACAAACAAGGCATTCCCTAAATTTTCAATAAATGACAGTCAATATATTTATTCATATGCTCCAACATAAAAAAAAAAGATTAATATTTAATGGTTTAAAAGAAGTCTCTTCTGCTCACCAAGGCTGCATTTATTTGATCAGAAATACAGTAAAAACAGTAAAATATTACAGTTTCAAATAGCTGTTTTCTATGTGAATATATGTTCAAATGTAATGTATTTCTCTGATCAAAGCTAAGTCACATGATCCTTCAGAAATCATTGTAATATGCTGATTTGCTGCTCAAGAAACATTTCTGATTATTATCAATGTTGAAAACAGTTGTGCTGCCCATGTATTTTTGTAGTTTCTGGATTCTTTGATGAATGGAAGCTTCAATAGAACAGCTTTTATTTGAAATAGAATCTTTTGTAACATTATAAATGTCTTTTACTGTCGCTTTTGATCAGTTTAATGCATCCTTGCTGAATAAAAGTATCAATTCTTTTTTAATGCTTATAAAATAAAACAGTTAGACTTCTCTAAACTTTTTTTTTTTTTTTTTTTTTTTTTTTTTTAAGCAATTATACAGTCTAATCATTAAATCTGTGCACTGAAACAGAAATCACTAATAACATTATATGAAACCCCATAGATTTTATTCTTCGCTTGACTTTGACAGCCTTTTGGTAGACGGATGGATAGATCGAGAGACTGACAGGGGCGTTCACACAAACAGCGATTTGAAGTGGCGAAAGTTAGCAGTTAGTGAAAGTTATATTCATTTTCAATGAGAGTTAGCATTTCAGGACAACCTGAGGAATAGAAAACACCGGTGGTGCAAAAAAGTTGAGCAGGCTTAACATTAAATAGCAACAGCAAAGACACGATCCCAATACTGCAGTTCAGTAGGAACAGTGATGAAATCGCTGTGAGCGTGAACGCACCTCCATGCATTTACTCCAGAGTGGCAGCGGCGTAGAGTTGTTGTCTGCTTGGATTCACCGTTTTTTGTAAACTTGTCCTGTTCTCTGGACTCGGACAGATGGACACGTTTGTGAATCCTCTCCGGAGCTCCATGAGGAACGTGTCCAATGCCGTGAAGTCACTGCCGGACAGCCTGGCCGAGGGAGTGTCCAAAGTCTCAGCGGACATGGGCCGCATGTCCGAGAAACTTGGCCAGGATATTAAACAGTCCATATTTAAGGTAGAGCACGTCTGGAGAATCTCAGAGCACAGCGAGAAATGTGCAAAAGACCAGAGACCTGCCAAACTGGACGCTTTGCATGTTGGCTGTTTGTGTTGCCTGTATTTATATAACTTAGAAACTTAGTCTGTGTCGTTTGTCAATCGTTTTCACATACATGCGCAGGCGAAATATGTGACCCTGGAGCACAAAAGCAGTCATAAGTCGCTGGGGGATATTTGTAGCAATAGCCAACAATACATTGTATGGGTCAAAATTATAGATTTTTCTTTTATGCCAAAAATCATTAGGATATTAAGTAAATACCATGTTCCATGAAGATATTCTGTAAATATTCTACTGTAAATATATCAAAACTTAATTTTTGATTAATAATATGCATTGCTTAGAACTTAATTTGGACAACTTTAAAGGCGATTTTCTCAGTATTTTGATTTTTTTTGCACCCTCAGATTCCAGATGCAAATAATTGTATCTCGGCCAAATATTGTCCTATCCTAACAAACCATACATCAATGGAAAGCTTATTTATTCAGCTTTCATATGATGTATAAATCTCAATTTCGAAAAATTGACCCTTATGACTGGTTTAGTGGTCCAGGGTCACATATTTGCACTCACATGCCGCTATTTTATGAATGCACGTCATTGACTCCAGATGTGTCTGATCCACAGGTGCCTCCTTTAATCGCAAAGTCTGACATCGATCCCGAACACTGCCGCGTCTCGGCCCAGCTGGACGACAATGTGAGTCAACATCAAATCAAACTTGGCCAAATCACTCTAACACAGTTGCTTTTAGTATGTGTAAAGGTGCTGATAAATAATGTTATTTTAATACTTGTAATAAGCAATTCTAGTACAAGTTTTATGGTATAATGTTTAGAAACATGCATAAGTATTAGTGTTGTAATTTTTCTTTTACTCTGCAAATTATTATTGTTGTTGTTGTTTATTTTACAGTACAATATTATTATTGCCATAGTAATTTTCTTTGATTTTTCTTTATTTTGTATAGTTTTTATTATAATATTGATTTAATATTTATTATAATAGTGTTATTACTATAGTAATTGTTTTATTTTTCATTTTATAATTTAATAAAATTATATTTATTATTTTCATCATAATTGTTATCATTATTATTAAATACTGAATTTTTTATTTTACAGTACAATAGTATTTTACCATAGTTATGTATTTCTTTGTGATTTATATTTTTTTTACTTTAATAAAATTCTCAAATTTATTTAATATTTATTGAACATTTTTTATTGATTTTTCATTTAAAATTTTTATTAAAATTATAATATGTATTATTATTTTCATCATTATTATGAAATACAGATTTTTTTTTTTAACAGTACAATAGTATTTTACCCTAGTAATGTATTTCTTTATTCATTTTTAGTTTGTATAATTTAAGAAAACAATCATTATATTATATAACAAATAATTTGCTTAAAATAATTTATTTATTTATTTATTAATTTAAATAATCTAATTAACTTGCTATTTTTTCAGTGATTCTGAGTGATAATTCAATGAGATTTCAGAGCTGGAGCTGTCAGTTTACTAACGTTGTGTTGATGAACAGGTGGATGATAATATTCCACTGAGGGTGATGTTGCTGCTGATGGACGAGGTGTTTGATCTGAAGGAGAGAAATCAATGGCTGCGCAGAAACATCAAAAACCTCTTACAGCAGCTCATCAAAGCCACGTATGGAGACACCATTAACAGGTGCCAGACACACGCGCATTGAGTCGCATGCGGTTGCATTTCTGCTTTATGTTCAAAGCTGACCATATGTTTTTGCTTCATTGCAGGAAAATCGTAGATCACGTCGACTACATGACCTCGCCTGAGCAAGTGTCTGATTACGTGAAGAGATTCAGGTGATGATTTCAAGCACACTGTCTGTTTTGACATGTATGTGATTCTGGTTTGTCTTCTGACTGGGTTTTTTGACCCTTGCAGAGACTCTTACTGGCCAAACGGGATCCTCGCCGAGACACCGCCCCGCAGAGACAAAAGCTTACGCATGAGGACACGAGTCGCCGCCAAGACCACACTCCTGGGCATCATGCCAGGTACACACACACACACACACACACTACAGCCTGAATCTTATGACACTGAATATACAGACATTTATGTGCACTCACAGCACAGACTATAGTGGAAAATCTGTAGTTATTCTGCAGATGGCACTCTTATTGTTATCTCTATGTATTCTCAAATAAGCCAAAATGTAGATAACATTTTTAAATGCTTTTGAAAAATCTCCTATGCTATCTCCTATGCTATCCTATCTCCTAAAAACAGTAACATTGTGAAATATTATTACAATTTAAAGTAGCCGTTTTCTGTGAATATATAGTAAAATGTAATTTATTTCTGTGATCAAAGCTGTATTTTCAGCATCATTACTGCAGTCTACAGTGTCACATGATCTTCAGAAATCATTCTAATATGCTGATTCGCTGATCAAGAATTTCAACAGTTCTGATCATTATCAATGCATGAAAAAAGAGATGCTGCCAAATATTTTTTATAGAAACTGTAAAACATTTTATTTTCAGGATTCTTTGATAAATTGAAAGTATTGTCTTGTGTAACGTTATAAATGTCTTTGCTGTCACTTTTAATCAATTTAATGTGCCCTTGTAGAATAAAGGTATTCATTTATAAAAAAAATAAAAAAACCTAAAGACCCCAAACTTTTTAA